ATAGACACCCCTGCCATCTAAAGACACAAGACACGCCTGCCACCTATAGGCACCCCTGCCACCTATAGACACGCTGCCACCTATAGACACGCTGCCACCTATAGACACAAGACACGCCTGCCACCTATAGACACAAGACACACCTGCCACCTATAGACACAAGACACGCCTGCCACCTATAGACACACCTGCCACGTATCGACACAAGACATGCCTGCCACCTATAGACACAAGACACGCCTGCCACCTATAGACACGCCTGCCACCTATAGACACAAGACACGCCTGCCACCTATATACGGCAGCACAGGGGCGTAGTGGTTAGCACTTCTGCCTTGCAGCACTGGGGTTCCCTGGTCCGAATGCCGGCCAGGTCACTATCTGCATGGAGTTTGCATGTCCTGCCTGTGCTGTGCGGGTTTCCTCCGGGTATTCTAAAGACACGCTGGAGGGTTAATCGGCTCCTCTCTAAGTTGGCCCTCTATGTATGTATGTGAGATAGGGACCTTAGATTGTAAGCTCCTCGGGGGCGGGGACTGATGTGATTGTGCTCTATGTAAAGTGCTGCGTAAATTGTCGGCGCTCTATAAATACCTGTAATCTATAAATATAGGCACAAGCCACGCCTGCCACCTATAGGCACAAGCCACGCCTGCCACCTATAGGCACAAGCCTTCTGTGCCCGATGATAATCCCGGCGCTGAGCACATACTGATCCTTCTCTTGTCATGTCCTCTGTAGGTGGCCGTACGCCGGGACCGCTGGAGCCATTAAAGAACTGGGCTGTAAACACATCAACAAGGAGGTGAATGAAGTCCACGTGGACACTAAAAACAAACTGGTCACCACGTGCGCCTTCATGAGTGACAGTCCCGTGCATGAGGTCTTCCATGGCGTCGGGGAAATGGTCACCGCTCTGCTGAGACTCCTCTAGATGAGGCGCAAAGGAGGAGGAGACCAGGAAACACGGAGGAGGAGGAGACCAGGAAACGCGGAGGAGGAGGAGAAGATCTTCCCGAATCTCCATCTTTTCATCACTTGGATTCTTTTTATTTATTTTTCCATATAAATAAAGTGTGAGATGATTATTCAGAGCTTCCATGTCTATTGTTCAGACTCCTCCCCCTGGGGGTCATCAGGTCAATCCATACATATGGGGGGAACCCAACCCAAATTCTTCTTCAGACATGGAAAGGAAACATGGAAAGGAAAGTCATGTGACTGAAGTGTCTCCAAAAATCCCGCTGTGCCCCATTCTCCTGGAACCTTCTCCTGGTCTAGGGAACCTTCTCCTGGTCTGGGAAACCTTCTTCTAGTCAGAGGAACCTTCTCCTGGTCTAGGGAACCTTCTCCTGGCCGGGGGAACCTTCTCCTGGCCGGGGGAACCTTCTCCTGGTCGAGAGAACCGTCTCCTGGTCTGGGGAACCTTCTACTGGTCCGAGTAATGCTTCTTCTGTTCGGGGGAACCTTCTCCTGGTTGGGGGAACCTTCTCCTGGTCCGAGTAATCCTTCTCCTGGTCCGAGTAATCCTTCTCCTGGCCGGGGGAACCTTCTCCTGGTCGGGGGAACCTTCTACAGGTCGGGGGAACCTTCTACTGGTCGGTGGAACCTTCTCCTGGTTGAGAGAACCTTCTCCTGGTCTGGGGAACCTTCTCCTGGTCCGAGTAATCCTTCTCCTGGCCGGGGGAACCTTCTCCTGGTCGGGGGAACCTTCTCCTGGTCGGGGGAACCTTCTACTGGTCGGGGGAACCTTCTCCTGGTCGGGGGAACCTTCTCCTGGTCGGGGGAACCTTCTCCTGGT